GGCTTACGATCAAGAAATATTTCTTAACTGTGAAGTCTATTAGTCTGTGAAATAATCTCCCAGGGGAATAATTGTAGTAATAATACTTAGCACTCATACAGCGCTTTACGTTTTCAAAGCACTGTACGAAAATTATCCAATATAATTAAAGACAGCAGTAGCAGCACCATGAGTTGTGTCATTTTAAATGCTGCACTGGTCAATGCACTAGAGAATATCCTGGAAAAAGCAAACCTGCACTGACTCTGACTGACAGCTAAGATTTCCTTTTTTCCTTCACACTAGCATCTCCAAATGTCAAAACTTTACCACCAAGAGGTACAACAGAATATCCAACTGTTGTTCAAAAAAAGAAAAAAAAAAAAGGGGGAATCTGCAAATAAATATACTTCCAAGAAATAAATTTAATTTTTTTTTCCTTGAAATTTTAATTCAACGCACTCTTATGTTGTTCTACAAACTCTCAAATTAAAGGACATGTCAGCTGATCTCTAGCAAAGAATGTGCTACTAGAGATCTTTTTCCACATTAATTTGCATTGATTTGCTTTTCAAAAAACACATCAGGTATTTGAAAGGCCTCCTGCTTTTTATTTTGTTCCCAGTCATTAGGTAAATACACATTTATAACATGGATGGTAGAATGCTAACAACATCCTATACCTGTGAGAGCAAACTTAGGAGGCTGAGAAGTGTCATAATTACAACTTCCTGGGCAACCTTGATACAGCTCCTTTGTTGCAAATGAATTGATACAGCCTTTTGCCTCTGCACTCTTGTGTCTTGAGCACACAGGTCAAAACTATTTGGGGGAGGGAGAGCCATTGCAGTAAACAGCTTTGCAGGTGGAGCCCCTGTTTTATTTGTTACAGAGCCTGGAAGTTGTGTACTTAATGAGGCAGAACATTTCAAGAAAGGAAGAGATGACTTCAAGACTAATACAGCTGAATGGTCAATTTTAGGCCACAACAAAGCCCATTCCAGCCCCAACAAAGTTTTCCAAAGCAGTCATGTCGCATCTGCCAGATTTTTTGTACTATGCATTTCTTATTTTTGCAGTGCTTACACAGGGACCCTAATCTGATGTTCCCATACTTCCCCACCTAGAAATACAAAGGAAGTCCCTAGGAGCTAAGCTTTGAACATATGTAATACATAATGTTCTTTAAAAATTATCTAGTCCTAATCAGGTACCCAAAATAAGGAGGTATATACATCTGATGTGTGTGTCTGCCTCCGCTCATCTCTCTTAACAGAGGGGTAGCTCCTCATCCATTCCAATGTGCCAACACAAGGTATTTATTGCTTGTGAGGCCTCAGGAATTAAAAGGATGAGCAACCCAGAAAGCAAGATATGGAGGCTAATAATTCTGTCTGGATAGTTCATTCAGAATAAGTGATGTGAATAGTATCTTGGAAGAAAACTTTGGAAGTGACAGGGACAGAATATAAATTTTCTATGGTCCATTCAAGCGTATTAATCGTGAGGCTACCCTGAAATGTAACTGTGAGTATAGCCCTGCTAATGCCTCTAACCTGCTCAAGAAAGACTGAATCTATCTAGATTTCAACAGACAAATTCCTGGCAATTGGTAATAAGTACATGCAAGCAACAATTCCTCCTCTACTTATCTCCTAACACCACTGTGTGACAAATTTCAAAGTTCCCAGTCAAAGAAGAGCTTTCCAACCAGAGTAACTATTTCAATTTGGCAAAACAGAATATGAGATTTAAACTTAACAACAATTTAAGATGTCATTTTAAAACTAGACTTTTAATACTTAATATTAATTGATACATGCATACTTCAGCAAATTTGCAAATACACTACATTAGGTAGGGAGGATCAAGCCTGCAAAGATCCTGCTTCAAAATAAAGCCCAGAATAGATGAAGCATCTCAAGTTTGGCCTTCTTTAAATAACTGAATAGATGAATTGAATTCTAGAAGTGCTAACTATACAGGAATG